CACTAGGAGGCTCATTCGATGAAGCTGATAGACTAGTCACTACAAGGTTCTGATGGCTATTATTTCCATTGCTTTTCATAGCATCCGAAAGAGAATGAGGTTTAGGCTTCTTAATAATAGTAGCATCATCTTGTTTCCTAGGCTCCTTAGCCTTTGCAGTACCGCCATCACTTATCCTAGAATCTACTCTAGGTCCAGTTATATAATTTACCCTAAATGAAGGGTTCCGAAAATAGGCTTTATTCCGTTCAGACAATCCTGCCTGGGCCTTCTTCATATTTACTGATTTCATTAACCTCTGATTACTCGAATCCAAATAACCGTTCCAGGCTTTTCGAGCAGCTAAGAGGCTTTTATCATCACACACTTCGGATCCATCTTGATGCCTACACTTTTCACCTTTTTCTTTCTTTTCTATACTTAGAAAAGCCATCTTATCTGTTACACCAACCGGCTTCTTGCTAGGACACGCATCAAGAGGCTTTACATCCTTACGGTCACGTACTCGTCCTTCATCAGCGTATGCTTTCGTGATATAATTGACAAATCTCTTATCTTCCGAGCGTGCGTTAGGTAGAAACGAAAAATCCGAATGTCTCGCACGCAGACCACTAGTAGCTTCCTTATTATTTCCTGTTTTAGCCTGATAAGCTAATCTTCCAAACCTACTACTAGCTATCTTAGCACGAGACATAATAAATTCCGTCAATTCGTTAAAATTGGGCTCTCTCTCCTCTTCGTCCCACTTGAATACTAGCTCTGCCCACTGGGCTTGCATTCGACGAGGTAAGAGCCTGACTACTCGTTCTAAAGTAACCATGGAATGAAGTTCCGTTGCACAATTTAGCTGTTCTAAAGTTAAAGCAGCGTTCTGCATTTTAATAGCCAAATTCGTCAATTCCTCAGGATCATTAAAATCTGCGTTCCCAGTTTTATATAAGTCTTCTAAGGTTTCCCGGGCTATTACATGCGACTGTCCAGAGAGCTGTTTTAAGATGGCCTTAGCTCTCTTATATCCAGCTTGTGGATCCATTATAATACAACCTTCAATCGCATTTTTTGCCCTTCCCTTACAATAGTGAATTAAATACAATAAACAAACTTGGTCATCTTTTAATCTGGGTTCTATAAACGTTTCTATTTGACGCATGAACCTAAAGTAGTCGCGAGACTTTCCATCAAAAAATGAAAGTTCAACCTTAGGTAGTTCTAAGCCTACTATCGGTGTCCTAAGCATCTGATCCGTCTCTGGTACCTTAGAACTCTCACTTAATCCTGGTTTCTTAATGCCTGCCAAAGGTGACTTACAATAATAAGTATCATACATAACATCAGTGTTATCGGTGTGGTTACTCATTAAAAAAGTATCAATAACGACTTGCTTAGCGTTTCGGGATCCGTCAAGCTCTTCCACCCTCCTCGTGTTTGATTTCTTGCGACTTGACATTATAAGTGAAGTTCAACGGAAGATAAATAACAAATACAAAATATAGGAATTCCACAGATAAGTTCAATAAGAGATGTCCAAAATCAAAAATTCTTCATCCAAGATACAATTCGAATACGAAAATACGATAAATAATCCAAGATTTCTTTATCAAGAAGTTTAGTGTGATAAACGATTAAATTTCCAAATGTTTCTTTATAATTCTTAATAATCCAACTGTAATTGGTCTTCTAATCAAAAGTAATAGATAATTCCAGAATATAAATGTTCTTAGGAATAATTCCAGACAGTAAATTGACTGGTTTCCAAATTTCGTTCGATTCCAATAGACGTATGTCGGACGCACTTCCCAAATTTGAATATAAAAACACAATAATTCCAGGGGAAAATGGTCTATTAATAGATAATAAATGGAAATACAAACAATACCTAACGAAATTTACGCCTTCCAATTCAAGATTACTCTGAATGAGTATCAAGGTTCCGAGGTCTAGGTGAACTCCTATACTGCACGATATCAATCCAAGAATGTGGCGGTAGCCATATTATATCAAATTTAAACAACATATGTACAGTTCACAAGCAAACATAAAAACTTCAATATAAGTACAAAATATAGAAAGAATAACGATATACAATGATAAAATCTCAAATTGGAATCAAATAAAATACCAAAAATGTCAACAGAAAAAGTCCGTCATGTCATAACAAAAATATGTAAATATGGAGGGATTTTCCAAAACACAAAACATTCAAAGAGGATTCTACAGCCTGTTAAATTATTATCTGAAGAATATCAACCAGATCTTAGCAAATTTACATCATGAGTTCTTGTTATAGGCATAGCTGGATTTACCTTGCATTGTTTTGCAGTCATTAGCAGCTTTTCCTAAGGCAACTGTTGTAACCAAGGCCAATTATTTGCACTTTACATTGCAGAGTCTGGAAAGTTATCTATTATTTTATGAGGAAACTTTTAGCCATCTACATGAAGCCAATGTATTTTGTGAAATATTTCATCAACTACACAATGTTTTACAAAAATGTGTTAGCAATCTTAACATTTTGATCTTGCCTGCAAATTGGCATGCCTCTTGTAACATGTTGTTATTTGAGAATAAATAATTTCTACCACTACTATAAATTTGTGGGAAAATTTCCGGTTGTTCTTCAACCGCATCCGCCATAAATGCTGTAGGGAAAAATGTCTGGATTTGGCCATGTAGTCAAGAATATGATGACAATCTGACTGTTAATGTGTGGAACATTTTTGGACATATTTTGCTCGCACCTTGTCTGCGGTATTTGTGTTTGAACAGACAAACAAACAGTATTCAGGGGAGGGTTCAAAACACATTCTGAAGGTAGTAATCTTAGCCTTCTTTGTCAAGAAGTTATTCCGGATGATTTAGCGACAACAAAAGAGGAATGTTCTTCAAACTTCAGGCTTCCTCAGTAAAAGATACCAGATCATGTGGTCATATAAGTGCCTGGACCCTATATTTTCTAAATAACGTATTAAATAATGGTGATGTCTATCGAAATGAATGATAATGATTTTGCTGTATTCAGATGATGACTGCCAGGTTATGAATGAACAGCAATTGGATACAACTGGAAATGAAGGCACAGGATTGAATAGGTATGATGGTGCTTGTCGGAGGCCTATACCATAGTCGATACATGGGTTGGACAGTTTTAAGCTGAATCGTCGAGATTGCATACTATCACACTTTATTTTTAGGGCAGTAATCGCCTTCTTCATGTTCGTGGATGTAAACTTTACTGCAAAATGATGGTTGGATGTTACTCTTGGGAATATATTGTTAGACATTTGTTTCTGCATTGTAGCAACGAGAAAAATGGTATTTGAACTGTTTGCGAACGGTGTACAGCTTGTCTACAGTATTTCTGTTAGATATTAGGAACGTGATTGTAGTAGTGGAGTTTGATTAGACGCGTGATGATTGTGTTGACGAGGAATGAAGGGTGTTCAGGGCAACAGATTTTGTTTAAGAGAGGGCTAGTATTGAATTAAACGATGTGGAACAGAGAAGTCTCATGAAGAAATAGGTCAGAGAATAGATCTTAGGCAATGCTTTCATGAATATTTCAGGTAAATTAAATAACTGTCGTCAGTTATAATATGCTTAGTGTCTCTGGCAGAAAAGCCCGTGGATTTTGTATATGACATGGGCGTACAGAACATTTGATCTGCAGATTTTAAGAAAAATGCTAAATCCAGATGGACGTTTTATTAGGTATAATACAAGGGGTATGAAGTTCACGGAAGTGAATATGGTATGTAACAGATCGTATTGTGAGTTCAAGAAACAACGGACAGATTGTTGGCTTTATGGTGAGAAAAATAGCTGATCGTCGTAAGTATAAAAAGGATGACGATATTCAGAATTGTAGACAGAAGATAGAAGAGAAAAATTTGTATTTGGTCTTTCAGGTGCAAGCGTAACTGGAAAAGGTCCGACTAGATATAACCGTCTGATTTCTAGACAATCAGCCTCAGTTATTTCTCAGATACAAGCCATTGAAACGGAAAGATATAGCTAGTATTCCAGAACAATATGGGTGTGTCCATTTTTTAGGATAAAGCGGTTATAATAAACACTTTACTTAGCACGGATTATAATTGAAAGCTGAGATTAACCAAAACTGGAGAATGAGGCGTCAACGATAAGTCAGAATACTTGAGATTGGTGTGACGATGTACAACGAAAATGTGAAGATAAGTATAAGACAGCAGTACTGAACAAAACTATGATAGACTCACCTAGTTGAGTAGGCTATTCAGAAAGTATGGTGGTCAAGCATCCTAAAAAAATTTAACAAACAGTATGTGAGTGTCAGTGTCTGGATTTCAAGGTGTTAGTTCGCGATCTCGAGAAGTCAATAGATATATATCGGTAATCCCAGAAATTATGAGATTTATAGCATCTAAAAACCGAATTCTGATTTCCTATGCTTCTGGTTTCTTCGTACTTTCCGTGAGGCTTCTGTTGAGACCCAGTCATAAGTAGTATTTTGGTGGGTGTCCAAGATTGTTTGAGTTGCCACGGGTCATTAGGAGAATCCTAAACTCTAATGGATAAATAATCGTAGATTTTAGGCGCTCTTAATAAGATTTGAGTTGGAGTCCTCGATAAGATCGTAAGTAAAGATCTGCTCAGCCTTCTAATTCAGAAACTAGAGTCAGAGCAAAGCTATATGGACTGAAGGCGCATATAGGATTTAAGAGTGGTCACATTCCAGAATTCGTTACCGAATGAAATGGCAAGGACAAATTTCAATGTTTCCTTCAAAAAGAAACCTGGAGTTTTCTTAATAATTGAGGAAAATACATAATTGTAATTCACAATGTGTATTCAGCTGGTTATAAGTACCCAGGTTCCTACCTGGGGGCAGCAGTGGCCCAATGCTACTAAACACAGAAGCCCGTTAAGATAATGCTTCTTCTATCCTGTCTAATTCGATTAGAACCATTTGAATACAGCTGTTATATTAAAGAATCTGTTTTTGTTTTTAACACTCATTGTTGGTTTTAACAGGTGTCGGTGTCAATAGCGCAGTATATGACCGGTTTTCAGAATGTCTTGTAATCACCGTGCCCGCCTTTGCACTCTCCAGAAATGGGAAAATTATTCAGGTTACGGATTTAGCCTACAAGCAACTAAAGGCAAAGTTGGTCATTATATAAGCGAGGTTGATCAAACATCTCCGGCTTTTGCAGCCGGTCTTAGAGATGGTGATTATGTAGTGGAAGTGAATGGTGTTAACGTTGGTAAGTTCATATCCGTCAACCGAAATTCTGTTGTGCAATAAGTTATCATGAAATTTTTAGGCTCGTCTTCTGGCTACCAAAAACAGTTAATCTAAGTAAATTAGTAGCAGCACATCAACTTTCCATAAGTCTGGTCACGACTAAGTGATAACCGTGCTGTTATTATTAATGCGCATCTTTTAGTCTTCTTCTTAGTTTTATTTATTTCAATTCTTGTGCGATTGTGTGTCATACTGGAAAGTTGAGTTCCAAATCAGCCTAAAGTTATGTGTTTCCTGATACTCATGGAGAAAATCTACTAATCCGTAGTTTAATGTTGTCTGATATCTATATGTAAATAAGAGCTAGCTTTTTGGGAGTTCGAACTTGTTATTATAAAGCTGATTGCTCTGCTCATAAATCAGTAAAATATTACGAAAACAATCGTCTCTCAAAATGAGTGGAAAGAATAGAGCACCAGTAAACTGTCAACAGGTTATTTATTTTCTACTAACTTCAGTTGACTTTGCTTTTCGGTTTTCGGGTTCTCCTTATCACACAATTCAATTGAAACATACTAAACTGCATAAATGGTTGCATGAGTTTCTTTCATGATGGGCAGCAAGGCCATAAACTACAAATGTCAGCTCTTAAGATGAAATATCGTTTTTGACCTTATAAGGCCATCGAAAGTTACAAACTTTCAACACTTAAAAGTTTTTATAGTAAGAGCGCAAGAGCTGTGCAGTATTTATCATCAAAAGGTCCCTAGACTTTAACAGTTTTGAAACTACATATTGTTAGAATATTCGTCTCTGTAAGTTTTGAGAATGTTAAGGTCTTGGGCAACTAAATAGGGGACTAACTGTCTAACGAATGGTCATGAGCTATGATGGTCGATAAAAACAAAAGATAAAAGCGGAAATGACCATATTTTCAGCGAAAACATGCTCCCACCTTTTGGAAATACTCTAGATTAAAACCTGTTGGTATAGAAGACTAGAAAAAACAAGCGGATAATTAATTCAGTCTCAAATAAAGTAGGACACATTGACGAACAGTTCATTCTTGATATGACTATCCCCATTTTTTGTCTGTTTGGTGTGAAAATTGATGAAAAACTAAAATCTAGTCTTTAACTTTTATAGAAGCTGAGCTTATGATCGATCTTTAGTACTCAACTTATTCATTAGAGTTGTATAATTACACTTAATTTCGTCTGACAATTTTCAGAAGCTAAAAAACTGCCAACATATATTAGTAACTCTTGTTTGACAATTGACTTGCACCTTGAAAAAGATATCTGTTTGTATATCAGGGAACAAAAATACTTCAAGCAATCTACCTTGTTTTTTTCGACAATAAAGCACGGTTTTGAAAGTTGATATGGATAATTAATGAGTAGATAGTTTAATAGCGTAATAAAACTGAACGGTAACGCTAATATATGGTGTTGTGTATTAGATGTGAATTTTTGCACCAGCTTATGAGTCTATCAATTAAGATTGATAACCTAACCCTATCTGTGCCTAATTATCATTTACGCTTTGCAATATGGTGGCTGGCATAAAGGAGGTTAGATATGGTTACAGTAAATGAGTCACTGAGTACTGATCCTAATGTAAGCCTTGTGTTAGGGAGTCTAGAAGACAAACACAATACTTGGTCACGGATTCTGTAATGTGGCTCAAAATAGTTTATATTGGTTCGACTGCTCTCGCTCTTTATGATAGTTATTTTACTGAATGCGGTCATTTCCATCGATTTTTTCCATCTAGTTTCTCAGTGTTATTAAAACTGTTGCTTTCACATTTTTGTTTTGTGTTGTGTTGGTTTCAACCCACTCGCTAAGATAATGTAAAGTATGAAAACTTAGAGCGAGACTATTTTACATCACGTTTTAAGGCATGATTATGAAAATTTTTCAATTTTTTTCCACACATCTTAATTGTAGTTATCACAATACAATATTAATTTAAGTAATTCAACTTGTTTGTTGATTGATCGGTATTTGTTTTCGGTATTCATGATAAAAAGTATTTAGTCTCGAGAGAAAGAATAGTTAATAAATTTTTTCGAAAGACTATTTTGTCTAACCGCTACAGCTGAAATATCATTTGAGTGCACGTTCACCATTTCATCAGTTGTTTTACTATCCTACCCTAATTTCCTATGTCTAATCTAATCACTGATCTTTGAATGATACTGAAAATCTCGAGTAATAGTTGAAGGGCAGCTATGGTTAAGCATTGATAATTTTATGTATATAAGCCATATTTCACGGTCATTAAGTGAGAAACCGTGAACTCCTTACCATATTCTTTCTTTTGTCAAGAGATGGATGTATCACTTACTCCAAAAAGTGATAAAAGTTGGTAAACACTTTTTCAATCCGTGTCAACTTTTTATCAGACAACAACTTAGCAAAGTAATTAACCCAGTCCAAAGGGTGAGATAAAGTTTTTGGAATTTCCAAATAAGCTTGCTAACTTGTATCAGGAAAATAACCTTATAGTTGTAAATAAGTCACCATCAGAAACTTATCAACAAGTATGTTAATTAGAACTCTTATTTGTCCATGAACTCTTTGTATGAACCATAAAAGCATGATGATGAGTTTATACAATCAATTCATTCATGTGCTTCCCCAAATTTGTAGTCATTATTACTGAGTAATAACCTTACAATCTATGCATGTCTCTTATTCAATAAAAGCTCCATAGATAATGTATTTATTTATTTCTCATATATTTCGAAATATGTTGAACAAATTAAGGTAGAGCCTGAAATTAAGCCTTCCTTTATGGATTTATTGGAAAAAAAAAATTAAAAAAGTACTTTGATGAATGTTAATTGGCTAACAGAATAAAAGTTTACTTTAAAGGATAAGATCAGTGAGTCATAACTGCATAATTTTCAATCAAAACATTTAATAAAATGTATCAGCTGAAATAGAATAAACCCTAATTCACATATATAAAGTAATTTAGTTAAAAATTCTTGAGTGTCATTAGTAACAATGTTCCACATAACATTGATTTGTGTGGATCAATGAATTTCTGAATAGTGTACTTGTGAAACTTCTACGCAGATGTTGTTTATGATATAATTTGTTATTAGCGCTAGTTACTATCTATTGATTAAGATACAGAATGTGAATACTTTGATTAAATGATACGCTTTATTAGGTATTCTGATGATTATATAGTAGAAATCTATAAATCGAACGTGGAAAGTACTTTGTGAAGAATTGAAACTATTTAGTAGCAATGATTAATCTTACACATCAGATAGGTTATTTTTTGTTAACAGATTTAAATCTGTAATTTTAAATTTTACTATAAACAATTTTACAACCTTCAACAATGCCAATACTTTTACTTTTATTGCAAGCCTTATGTAGTTGATAAAATGCTCAGTTAAAATGTTACTGTAAATTTTTATATAAAGACTGATGTCCATACTTCAATCGATTACAATCATTAGTGTATAGTCATTTATGATAATTGACTATTACAAAGACCTCTAGTTTTGACTTTCTAAACTTTTCTCACTGAATCATACTTCTTGAATAATATCTTCTAATCCTAACCTCTCCGATTACTTCTAATACTTTTACTACCTCTTCTACTATTGGATTTGAATTGACAATTACATCTCTGTGCTGATGTGGTATGGTAACATGAACTGTTGTACTTACGTACGAAGTTCTACATTGCATCTGACTGACTGACTGTTACAAAAATCTATGGCCCAAAAGCTTTTATTTGATTCACTAAGTTTCATAGAAACAAGTTATTTCTATTCTTTTCTTTTTTTCAAATAGCGAAGCTGCCACTATGCAGTCACAAACTAAGATGAACCAAATCTGTAATTCTTTTTTTATTTGCAATGGTCCCTGGTATTTGGTGTAAATTATTTTTAAAATGATCTTTTTTCCGTAGATATATTTCTTCTTGAAAACCTAGTTATTGATAACTTATTTGTGTTACGCTCGTCTTTAGGTATGCTTAAACTATTACGAGTTCACCTTAGTCGAATAACGAGAACAAAACAATGAACCAGAGTCCAGGTAGGCTACTGTGATCCCTTAACCAAAATGAATCAGCGGGAAGTCTTGATATAGCGTAGAAATTGTATTCTACAAACACCCAACAAGCACACAATGAATCCAAGCACTCGAATCACGTTTGCTTAGACTCTATAGAGACGTCCTTGGGACAGTCACAAAAATAGTGCACTAAAATGACACAATAACCAATCACAGCCAAGTATTTTCTTGGTGGAAAATGTGATCTCAAGGTCCACTGATCGGTCCATGAAATAAATCCAAAATAAAGATATTTATCAAGCGAGTTCTGGGGATCTGACATCCCCAACAATTAGTACATACTGAATTTGTTAAAAACAGATGCTTATAAGTTTTTGAAATCTAAATACAAGTAAGAAATTAGGATCAAGTGTAGTCTTAATACTTGTATCGAACATTAGATACTTTTAATATCTATAAATTTTACACTTAGTTTTCTTATTCATTTTTAATCATGTGTCGAAATCAATAACCTGTTCAATTTCTCCGTCACACCCATCCTTATACTCACTAGTCAGTCGTTTGTTCTTTTTTGTTTTTCTTTTAGTTATCCGATAAATTATTTAATATATGTCTAAATTTATTTCATTGCCAAAGAATAATCGAAAGCAAACAGTATTAATCCAGAGATAGCTTGTTTGTGTATGTAAAAACTAGAAATACTTTAATTTGCTTATTTTAGAATTTTTATTGATGTAATAATAATAATAATAATAATAATAATAAAGGTACAATTTAAGAAAATTGAAATGATCATTTGATCATGTGCTTTAATTGAACATTGTCTGAAATCCAGATAATTTTAATGCCATGAATATGAATGCTTGTTTGTTTTAATAATATAAATAATGCGAGATTTTGTTTACTTTAATGTTTTTACAGTAATGTTAAACAGTTTTTGCGTGCATAAATAATATTATATTATGTAGAGTATATTTCATGAATAATGAAAATTTTCAATGGTGAGAAGAAAAATTCAGTTGTTTAGTTCATACAATGTATGGTATGATGTGAATAAATAACAAACTAGTGTATAAAATTGATAAATTGACTAGGACATACTTCTCACTAAACTTTTGGGAGGGCTTTTAATAGTACGATTTTTAAATTTTAATGTAGTTTAAACTGACAATGCATGAATGCTTTTAGGTAAGCGTAATAGCGAATAAATCAAATGTGAAGCTGATTTACGTACGACTACTTACGTCTGTTACTCCTTGTAGAGCATAGACTATGAATCAGGGTCCTGGACTCTCCTTTCCGATTTTACCCATGCGCTACTCATTATTTTCATGTATGTCTGCAATTATCGATCCAGTGGTCTTCCTCTTTCCTAAGTTTAGGCTTGCCTCGTGGCGCATTTGAATGCTTTCTGCAATGCGTATCCTATCCACCCCAACGCTTTTCTCTAATTTCTTCCTCTGCAGGAATCTGGTTTGTTCTATCCCACATTAGGTTGTTGCTGATGGTGTCTGGCCAACGGAACCTCAATATCTAGCGTAGACAGTTGTTCATAAACACCTGTATGTTGTGGATGGCGTTTGTCGTGGTTCTCCAAGTTTTCTGTTTATGCAATAAAACTGTCTTGACATGTGTAGTGAAAATTCTGATCTTAGGGTTGGTTGATAGTTGTTCTGATTTCTAGAAGTGCTGCCCTCACTTTGCTAAACCATATCTTTACATCTGCTTCAGATCCACTTTGTTTATCAGCGATGCTGTCCTGATAGAAATACTAGATCATCTGCGAAGCCCACGTCGTCTAGCTGCACCTGAGCTGTCCATCAGTCTTCGCTTTAAATAAGTTTGTGAGCTTCCCTTTATGGACGATTTGCAGTTTAATGTATCATAAGAGTTCTGTGTGATGTTGACTGTCTTCTCAGACACGCCCTAGTGTCTTAGAAGCCTGCAAAGTGTCATCCTGTCCACACTATGAAATACTTTCTTGTAGTCAATGAAGTTGATTTACAGTGGTGAATTTTATTCAAATGATTGTTCCACAATGATCCGTAGTGTCATCATTTGATCGGTACGCCATCGATCATTGCGAAATCCGGCCTGGTGATTTCGAGGTTGGTCGTCTGGAGAATTTTTCATTCCTTCAACAACGCTGTTAGAGACTTTTCCTGGTATTGAGAGAAGAATGATTCCTCTGTGATTCTCACACTTGCTGAGATATCCTTTGTTTGATGTATTGATCAGGTGTCCTTCTTTCTAGTCTATTGGCAACTGTTCCTCCGCTCAAATCTTGTTGTTCTTCAAGGTGTTCTACCCATCTGTTTCACTGCTCTTGGGACTCGGTCACTGGTTTACCCTGTTGTTGACTAGTTCTAGTGCAGTCTTTGTATTAAAGAGTTGTCCCATGTTGCCTTTCCTTGTTTTTGATGTTATCATTGCTTGATATTCCACATGTTTACCTTTATCGTTTCAAATGCCACTCTTAACTTGCTTGTTTGCTTCTGTGTATTCGACCTGTGCATTGACTTTCTCTGCTCTTATTCGGCTATTATTGATTACTGTGTTCTTGTTATTCGTTTCTTGAATCTTATTCAGAGTATCAGCAGAGATCCATTCCTTGTGATGTTGCTTCTCTTGGCCTAGAACTTCACGGAATTCTGAAGTTAATGCTTTTTAGATCCGTTTCCAGTTGTTTTCCACATTAGTTTCTTCTTCTTTGAGTATATCGTGAAAAAGTTTCAACTTATTGCTGAAAAATGCTATCTTGAATTCGTTGAGTTTACCGGTATCTGGAAGAAAGGCTGTATCAAACTTTCATAGTAATAGTAATAATAAAAATAATACCCATGGAAGTAGTAATATCTTCTGTTACTGAAATAATGAAAAATATGAAATTCAGCCGGTTATCGACAAGCGGGACCTGACGCACTCGTATCACTCTACGTTCATAAATCTCTTTTGAGGGAGACAAACAATAGAGTTTGAAGACGATAAAGAAAGAAGTGATTTGATACAAACTGTAATGAAAGCCTAATTAGGAAAATACATTTCGAAAAGAAAAAACAAAGTTGAGGGACAAAAGATTTGGGATGATATTCAGCTTGGGATTTAGTAGAAATTGTCTACGGCACTGTTTTGCTCACATGTTTAAACTTACATTTATGCACCTACTAGTGAGGCTCAGTCCAACAGTAAACAACATCACATACTGATATAATTGTTACTGTTTGCTGAATCTTAAGTCTACTGATAACCTACTCCTACGGCAGTTTGCATCGTACGTGATTAGTTATTCATAACGTTTCTTACCTGAGTCAGAAGATGACATTTCTGTCAACTTAACCCGATGTCGTACATATAACCATATTATTACTCTGTTGCTTGTCTAATTATGAGTGAATAGTGTCTTGAAAAAAACCCACCACTAAATATTGATAACTTTAGTATGTTCTCCGCTTTCAGTGATTATCTTTTCTAGCTAATAAAGGATTCAAAAAGCAGAATGTCATACAGTTTACTTATCAGTTAGTTGATAGGAAGACAAGTATCTCATACAAAATTTGCTTAAATGTTTATAAAAACAGAGAAATCGTTTTGTATACATGATAAAATTTCGTCATGCATCAAGATGAATGATTATAAAATTTGAAATTCAGACAAGCCTAATGCTAGATCAGTGCAAGTTTCTTTTTGATTGGCTTCATTCGAAATGAATGGGTTATTAGTTAGTTAACATTAAACGATAATCTCATTTAAATGGCCTAATAATTATTCCTCATCAATATCTAACTGGCAACTTTAATCTTAGATAGACAAATCAATTTAGAAATTTAGTAGAATCATTTGACTACAATCGCACTTACAATTCAATCATCATAAACATATTAGATGGCTATTATTTTTAATGTGAATTTTTTCTACCAATCTCTGTCTATTTGATCATGTTTGATCAGTATTTAAAAAAAAAGTACTGTATAAATAAATACGCAATTAGTCCTATAAATACATCATGGTATTGGGGTATTTTTAATTTTTGTGAAAGTTTTCAATGTACATGAATATGATCTTCTTCAAAATATTTGTCATTTCTGTAAATACACATGTTAAAAATCTATATTTTATTTATTCGATACACGTATTGAACATGTTCAGAAATTTGAGCTTTTCGACTACCGCGTCATTTCAAATGTTATCAGGCATTCATTATTACGGTCTCAGCTCAGTAATGTATCCATACAATTACTATTTAGTCCTTTTGGTTAGATTTTAGATATTTGGTAATGATTTTTACAAACAGTTTTTCTAAAAACTCAATTGTTTCACTGGAATTATGTTCATTAGAAGTATTTATACAAAATCAAGTCTAACACTCAAACAGAAAATCCTAAGAAGTCGCACACATTCGATGTCTTGATCAACATTAGTGGTCATCAGTCGTTCATAACTGAAAACATGGTTGCTCATTGTGCACATTTACGGAATGGCTCAGATATATATATATATATATGTCCAACATAGAGATAATATAAAATGCAGTGCAGGGATATTTATGACAAAAAAAATGCAAAATAGGAACAGCAACTACAATTAAATTTCTTCTCTTTTTTAAAAAATTTTTTTTCAGTACCTGATCAACATCAAGAAGTAGTGCAAAGAATTTTAAAAAATCCATCCAAAGTTTCCCTTCTTTTACTGGATCCAGAATCAAAAGCTTATTTCGAAAATCATTCAATCGCTGTCAATAAATTTATGGTAGATATTGTGAAAATCAATTGTCCAGCAGTTAATCCATGTTAGTAATGTTGATTAATTAATTAATTAATTTTGTTTACTTTTATTCGGTTATTCGATGTGATCTTACGAATCTATGTAGAAATAAAGTGACGTAATTGATTGAACTAAACGGATTTTCCAACAGTTATCAGTCAGTCAGTCAGTCAGATGCAACGTAGAACTTTGTACGTAAGTACATCAGTTCATGTTGCCATACCACATCAGCACAGAGATATGATTGTCAATTCAAATCCCATAATAGTAGAAGTAGTAAAGGTATTAGAAGTAATCGGAGAGGTTAGGATTAGAAGATATCATTCAAGAAGTATGATTCAGTGAGAAAAGTTTAGAAAGTCAAAACTAGAGGTGTTGAAGAATCCAGAAGATTAGGATTTGAGAGAACACAAAGAATAAATGCACCGGCGCCATTGCGAACGGTTTTGAGCAATGTCATTCAGGGTCTCTAACCATCGATTATTATCATCTCGCGGACCCCAACCAGGTAGTCGACAACTACCGACCGAAGCTGCTACCTCGACATGGTGGTCGGGCTTGCCTACCGTGATGAACCAACCGAGCTATAATGGCTAGAACTTATGTTCCTGAAGGTTCTACCATGCCAGGCTGGTCGATTGGAGAACGATGAGACTAAAAGCAGCTACCCAAGGTCTGAGGGCGAAGTCGTACTGCTGACTGCAGAGGGGTGTGACAGCAGTAAGGTGTTTCCCTCGGACAACCAGCATCTGCAGCGATGCTGCCTTCTCACAAGGAAGGAAGGGTTAGAAAAGGTCGGCCCTAAAAATGTCACACCTCCCCTAAATCACGGATTTCCGTCTCCTTGGGTAAGGGTGCCCACTAAGGGTCTTTAAGAACGGAGCTAATCCTCTAAAAACGTTTCATAAAAAGGCCGTGCGTGACCGGCCTCAAGCAGTTGTCCCTTGGACTCTGCGGTCACGCACCAACACTAATCCATCTTGCTTTTCAGGTTCGTCAAGAAACAACCTTCCACGGTGTGGGCAGCCGGGAAGTGACAACCGCCCTCATACCCGTAATAGTACACGTGACCAAATTGGTCAAAATCAAATCCTTCCTACACCCCAACAGTTATCACCCTCTAACCTTTTCTGAATCCCGACCGAAGCTGCTACCTTGACGTGGTGGTCGGGCTTGCCTATCGTGATGACCCAACCGAGCTATACTGGCTGGAACACATGTTCCTGCAGGTCCTACCATGCCAGGCAGGTCGATTGGAGAACGATGAGACTAAAAGCAGCTACCCAAGGTCTGAGGGCGAAGTCGTACTGCTGACTGCAGAGGGGTGTGACAGCAGTAAGGTGTTTCCCTCGGACAACCAGCATCTGCAGCGATGCTGCCTTCTCACAAGGAAGGAAGGGTTAGAAAAGGTCGGCCCTAAAAATGTCACACCTCCCCTACCTCATGGATTTCCGTCTCCTTGGGTAAGGGTGCCCACTGAGGGCCTTTAAGAACGGAGCTAATCCTCTAAATACCTCTCATAAAAAGGCCGTGCGTGACCGGCCTCAAGCAGTTGTCCCTTGGACTCTGCGGTCACGCACCAACACTAATCCATCTTCCTTTTCAGGTTCGTCAAGAAACAACCTTCCATGGTGTGGGCAGCCGGGAAGTGATAACCGCCCTCATACCCGCAACAGCACACGAGACAAAATTGGTCAAAATCAAATCCTTCCTACATTCCCTAATACCTCTCTTATCTCCACAACTAACTCTTCTCACATTCATTTATTACAGTGCACAGCTAATGCAAACGATGCGAGTTTGCGAAACGTCGTTCCTGGTCTCCTTAAACCCCGTTCCAAACTACATGTTGGAGCATTCAATGTACGGACATTGTGTCAAATAGGGCAACAGGCATCATTAGCTAGGACTTTAGAATCTCGTGCCATCGATGTGTGCTGCGTCTCGGAAACGCGCATACAGGATCCGAGTAGCATCACTCATTTGACCTCACCATGTCAAGATAAAGAAGCAGCTCGATTTACCCTTCGTGTATCCGGTAGCCCTGATGCTGCTTCTAGGGGCCTCGCCGGTGTAGGTATAGCATTGAGTCGTAGGGCAGAACAATCTCTCCTTGACTGGATCCCCGTAGATAGTCGCTTGTGCGCCGTCCGACTCAACGGGACAGTAAGGACTCGGAAAGATAGGGACACTCGCCGTTGCCTCTTCGTCATATCAGCCTATGCCCCCACTGACTGCAGCCCAGATGATGTAAAAGATGAGTTTTACAGAAAGCTTTCGGACCTCCTCCAAAAAGTTAAGCGCTCTGATATAGTTATAATGGCTGGTGACTTCAATGCACAAGTAGGTAGACTAAGTGAAAATGAAAGACACCTAGGTGGATGTTACGGTCTCGCGGCTCAAAGAACAGACAATGGCGACCGTCTGTTGCAACTGTGCTCAGATAACCAACTATTTCTAGCAAACACTAATTTTAAACATAAGGAAAAACACCTTTTGACCTGGCGACCCCCGAAGTCGTCTCAACGTTGGACACAACTAGATCATATCGCCATCAGCCACCGATGGAGGGGTTCGATAGAGGACTGTCGCTCGTTCTGGGGCACATGTTTAGATTCAGATCATGCCCTAGTGCGAGCACGTATTTGTTTGAGGCTTGCTGGACGTAGGAAAGACACCGTAAGGAAGCCTCTTAGGGCTTTACTTGATGATAATCAAGCTAAGAAAATATTTCAGGAGGAATTAGAAAAACAGTTAGGCGGCCATGCAAGTGATTCCCATCCTGAAGCAGGTTGGAATCATATCAAAAAGGCTGTGGAAACAGCCGTGATATCTGCTAGCAAGGTAAACCGTAAGGCTAGGATGAAGCCCTGGATCTCAGTCGCATCCACCGAACTGATGGATGCTCGAAAACGCATTCCACCTGACTCTGAACATGATGAAGAGCGTAGTCAGGTTAGGTGCAGACTTATAAAAAGCCTACGTAACGACCGTGAACAGTGGTGGGTGGCGAAAGCAAAAGCGATGGAAAAGGCAGCGGCGATAGGCAACACTAGACAACTTTTCCGCCTTATCAAAGAAACCGGTATTAGGAACCCTAATGTAAGTGAGACTATCTCGGAAAAGGATGGTCTTATTATCCATTCTCAATCTAGGAGGCTGGACCGATGGGCAGAACACTTTAGGGATCAGTTCAACTGGCCTTCAGCCACTCTTCGGTTGCCCACAATCTCCAGTCATCCTGAATGGCAAATCGATTTAAGTCCTCCCAGTTTACATGAAGTTGAGAAAGCTATAGGAAATCTAAGGAGAGGTAGAGCGGCAGGTCCCGATAGGCTTACCCCTGAGATGTTTAAGGATGGTGGTCCAGTTTTAACGGTTAGACTGACCGAGATCCTAGGTAGAATCTGGGAAATGGACGTAATCCCATCTGACTGGTCTCAGTCGCTAATTGTCCCAATCTACAAGAAAGGACAGAAGTCCTCTTGTGACAATCACAGGGGAATAAGTTTAACTAATATAGTTTCTAAATTGTTAGCCTCGATTATACTTAGACGTCTAACTAGAGCTCGCGAAGAGCAGACTCGAGAAAACCAGGCTGGTTTTCGACCTGGACGTGGTTGTATAGACCACATCTTCACACTACGACAGGTCCTGGAACACAGACACACATTTAGACGTCCGACAATAGTCGTGTTCCTGGACCTTAAGGCGGCTTTTGACTCAGTGGATCGTGAGGTTCTGTGGCAGTGTCTGTCATTGAAAGGTGTACCAAAGAAGTACATTAACCTTATACAAGCACTCTACTCGAACACCACTGATCGAGTGAGAGCATATGGCGAACTGTCATCTGAATTCTCTACTTCAAGTGGTGTCCGTCAGGGCTGTCCACTCTCTCCATTCTTGTTTAACTTTGTCGTAGACATCCTCTTAGAGCTAACATTAAGCTCGTCAGATTTTTCAGGGGTTGACCTTCTACCAGGAAAGTCGCTTACTGATCTAGAATATGCCGATGACATAGTTCTATTCGGTGAAGACGCTGACAAAATGCAGAGTCTTCTGACTACCATAAGCAACAATGCGAGCATGTTCGGGATGCGGTTTTCCCCCTCGAAATGCAAAATGTTGCTTCAAGACTGGGTTGCTTCGGCACCTGAACTAGTGATAGGGAGTGAAGTAGTCGAGCGTGTAGATCACTTCACTTATCTGGGGAGTCTCATCAGTGCTGACGGTCTGGTGACTGACGAAATCTCAGCTCGGATACAAAAAGCTCGATTGGCTTTTGCCAACCTGCGTCACTTATGGCATAGGCGTGATATCCGTTCGCTAACCAAAGGGCGGGTGTACTGCGCAGCAGTTCGTTCCGTTCTCTTATATGGCTGTGAAACATGGCCGTTAAGAGTAGAAGATGTTCGTAGGTTACTAGTATTCGATCACAGATGTTTAAGAAGCATTGCTCGTATATCGTGGGACAGCCGAGTAAGCAATGCTGTCGTTAGGAAACGAGTACTAGGTAAGGATGGCAGATCAATCGATGAAGTGGTGAAACTTCATCAGTTGAGGTGGTTGGGACATGTGTTACGTATGCCTAACCACCGACTGCCTCGACGAGCTATGTTTTGTGGTGTAGGAGTAGGTTGGAAGAAAGCTAGGGGCGGCCAGACCAAAACATGGCACAAATCCATGAAGTCACTGACAAGTGGACTGAGTCATGTTGGTAGATGTAGACTACCTGGTTGGGGTCCGCGAGACGAAAGTCATCAATGGTTAGAGACCTTGAACGACATGGCTCAAAATCGTTTGCAATGGCGCAGGTGCATCCACTCTTTAAGCTCTCTCAAATCCTAATCTTCTGGATTCGTCACCACCTCTACCCCTTTGTCTTTCTAACCTTATCTCACTGAATTATATTTTTTTAAATAATATCTTAAACCCTAGTCTTCTTTATTATAACATTAATACCTCTACCATCTTTATCACTATGGGATTTGATTTGACATTTGCGTCTCTGTGCTAATAATGTGGTATGGCAACATGAACTTATGTACATACGTACGAAGTTCTACGTTGCAACTGACTGACTGACTGGAACCTTTTCTGAATCAAATCATGTCTCTTGCCAACATCTTAACTATTAGACTACTTCATCTGAGATCCAATAGAACATATTTTTAAATAAACATAATAAACTATTTATTTCTTATTCTTAAACTACAAAAAAACACCTACCCAATACTTTCTAGTTTCTATTGCTTCTCTAGATCATATCGATTTGTGATAAATATTACTTACAAATAATATTAGATCTATTTCATTCATGATTCTATAATTCTACAGAAGTAATCAGTGAGATTATAGTAATCGACGGTTAGAGACCTTGAATGACGTGGCTCGAAATCGTTTGCAGCGGTGCAGTGCATTCATTTTTTGTGTTCTTACCAAATCCTAAACTTCTGAATTCCCCATCACTTTTTTCTTTTTAAGTTTATTTCATTAGATTCTACTTCTTGAATAACACCTTCGAACCCCAAATCTCTCCGATTACTGTTAATACTTCTACTACCTCTACTATTATGGGATTTGAATTGACAATCATATCTCTGTGCTGATGTGGTATAGCAACCTGAACTGATGTACGTACGTATGTAAGAAATTCTGCATTTCAACTGGCTGACTGACTGACAGAAGTAATCAACTTTGAAGTGGATTAGTCCAAGTGTCTAATTTTTAAAAAAAAAACTGTTATTAATAAAGTCAATCAAATCAAATATTCTTGGTGTTCATGAATGAACATTATTAATTTTTAATTAAAATTAGCATAGTCACAAACCTCATTAAAACAAATTATATTTGTGTGCGCAGTTGACTAGAATATTAAAGGTAGAAAGCTGTTCAATAATTTATTTAACATATTATTCTAGATAAATGCTTATTATTATTTTTTTGCATCTAAACTTTTATATTAGTCGGCAATATTTAAATTGAATGCTAATTTTTCACTGTAATCATGAATACAATACAATACAATACAAAGAATCTTGTATAGCCTCCATGTATGAACATTAATACTTTGATAGATTTTACTTTTAATAAATCAATAAAGTGTTGATGCAGTTAAACTTAATGTGTATTGTGCAATTTAATTCACCAACTAGATTTGGGTCATACACTTAAGCTGTTATTTATTCTTTACTTTTTAATCAAGAATTTGTTTGTTATATACATTTCTAATAATGTTAAAATCAAATTAAAAATAGGAGTTATTCAATTGAAAATCAAAGTGCACTGAACAGTTGTTTCGTTTAAATTTCAACAATAGGAACATATATTTCTCCTTATCCACGGTTTGATCAGCTGGGAAGTCACATCCGCCTTCATACTCGTCACAGCACACGAGTCCAAAATAGTCACAAGCAAATCCTTCCTACTTCTCTTAATAACTGTATTATCTTCATGACTAAACCTTTTCACATTCCTTTATCACCTCGAACCTCTAATGCAAACGATTCGAGTACACGAAACGTTAATCCTGGTCTCTTGAAACCCCTTTCTGAACTACATATTGGAGCTTTTAATGTCTGAACCTTGTGTCAAATAGGGCAACAGGCTTCCCTAGCTAGGACTCTCGACTCACACTTCTTTTATCTGGAAGCCCTACTTCTGCTTCCCATGGCCTCGCTGGTGTTGGTATAGCGCTGGGTCCTGGGGTAGAACTAGCTGTCTCTGAGACTGAGTCCTAGTAGACAGTCGCTTGAGTGCTGTACAACTAAGCAGGACAGTAAGGACTCGGAAAGATAGAGATACTCACCGTTGCCTCTTTGTTGTCTCTGTCTACTCTACCAATGACTGCACTACGTGTCAGGTGAAAGATGAATTTTACAGAAAACTTTTCAACCTTGTTCAGAAAGCTAAGCACTCTGATGTAGTTATAGTGGCGGGGTACTTCAGTGCTTAAGTAGGTAGACTAAGCGATAAGGAAAGACACCTAGGTGAGTCTTGTGGTGTCGCGTCTGCCCGTACAGACGATGGCGACAGTCTGCTGCAGCTATGCTCAAATAACCGCCTATTTTTAACAAATACTAATTTTAAGAACAAAGCAAAACATCAGTTGACATGGCAACCCCCAAATTTGTCCCAACGTTGAACCCGACTAGATCACATCACTATCAGCCACCGACGGAGAGGTTCAATCGAAGACTGTCGCTCGTCCTGGGCAGATGCTTGACTCAGATCATGCTCTTGTAAAACTTATTATTCATTCTTGATCCAGGAGATCGGATCAATGGGCAGAAAACTTTCGGGATCATATTCTACAACATATTTAAAGTCACTGGGACTTCAACAATACTTCTTAGCACAAGTCAGCAGTAGTCGTATGTTTCAATCATTATAATCACTTTTTATGATAATTTAACTTTGAAACTATTGAATCAAATATCCAGTAATTTTTATGAATGTTTTGTTATTAATTTTTAATACAGTTACATCTGATCTAAAGGTGAATGGACGTAAAGAATCGGTGAGTTGAAACATTTCGTAATTTAGTTTTGTATTATATTTTCGTTATTTAGAACTCTATATTTGGTTTCTGATAAATTTGCTTTGTCAGAAAAACTCTTTTTCATTCTGAACTAACACTGGTTGTAAAGGTGTTGTAAATAAAGTGTCATCAGTTAACATGATTGTACGTTATCAAAAGTTAACCTCTCAAAGTATAATCTAAACTATTTAGCATATATGAAAACATTTTCCCCATTTATGGATAATAATAATAATTAATGGAGTGTTTATTACTTAGCTAATGGGTGAAAACACAATAATATACAAGGCAATAAATAGGCTGATATCTATGCTTAATTTTATTGTCCCTTGATTCGTAACATGCAAATATACATAGATATTGTGAATATATATAACCGGAGTTACATAATGTAATATATATTTTCTTAGTTTCAAAAATTCTTTAGTCTTTGCAGGTCACTTCAGTCTTCTTTTATTGACTATGATACCTCAATGATTTAATTTAGGGGGAGTTTAAGTCCCTTTAGGATATTAAAATTAGTACGTTGAGTTGTTTTTTGGAACAAATGATACTCAGGGACAGATGTGAACATTGATTTATTCGGGTATTACACATAGAAATCGTGAACTAATCATTATAAGAACACTATCAGAAACCTAGAAGCACTGGACGGCCGTTCTGTCCATCATCAGCAGTGCACATCCACGACTCCCGCTACTGACAGGTTTCGAACCCAGGACCTTCGGTCTCGCTCGCGAACGCCTAACCTCTGGACCTTTAGACCGGCATCCAACGGTTTTAATGTCTAACTTTGATCGATCTAGGGATTTTGTGCAACTCCACTCACTTGTCTTTGGTAGTCACTGCCTACATCCAACAGGGTGATCTCCATAACACTAGTTGAAAAGTCGCACAATGTTCTCACCAGCGACTAGCTTCGTGAGGGAATTATCGTGGTTCTAGTGAAAAAACGTGATCAGTGGAGTTTCAACCCATTCGGCTGTAGGAGATAACTACCGAAGACAAATGGGTGGGGTGTCGTAAAACCTCTAGATCGATCAGAGTTAGCCATTAACATCGTCGGATGCTGGTACAGTGGTCCAGAGGTTAGGCGTTCGCGACAGAGACCGAAGGTCCTGGGTCCGAATCCTGTTAGTAGTGGGGATCGTGGATGTGCACCGCTGATGAATTCCACACCAGGATCGAACGGCCATCCTGTGCTTCCAGGTTTTTAATGGTGTTCTAACCATGATTAATTCATGATTTCTATGTGTAAAAACAATGATCTTCATTAATCTAGTGAGAAAATCATAGCAGTATTGCTTGTGACTTATGATTGACGTTGAATGTTGGACAATATTTTTTATTTTAGTTTTAATATTTATAAAAATATAATAGTGATATTATAGCTTGATATTACATAAGTATTTTCGATGTATTATATTTGAATTGTGTTCGTAAATTTGGTTTAATTCCTTGAAACCAATTCTCTCCTTTCTTATTTTTGAATGACGTTGCAATATTAAGCACTCTATACAATTGATATAAAGTGGATGTACATATATGTATTTATCTTTTCATCGACTAGATCGAAAAACAATGATACAATCTATTTTTAACTAATCAATCTAGCCAATTTTTGATTTTTACAACTCCATTAGAGTATCAAGTACACAATGTAGTATCATTTCTCAAATTATCTGTTATGGTTATGCATGTTGTTCACAAGTGTAAAGAGTTAAGTTTTGAACTAAATCTTTGTGGAACATATTCTTCAATAAAATAGTTAAGAAATCAAGTGAGATTGAATGTCACTACTTCAAGCTCCAAAACAAACAAATAAGCACTGAGCTGTGAAAGTTTCTTGAAATATTTCACTAATTATTTCTATCACTTAATACTTGAATGAAATCAAAACCGTGTAACTCATTTACTAAGTATTATGCTCGTCACTGAGTATGCTTGAGGCTATTACGAGTTTACCTTAGTCGATAAACGCGAACGAGACTTTTACCAGCGTCCAGGTAGGCTATCTTGAATCCCAAGCTGAAGATAGAAGGCCTTTGTAAGCGCAGAAAGTATATTCTACAAACACCCAGCAATCACAGTACAATCAAGCATACAACTCTCGTTTATTTATACAACATAGGAACGTCCTTGAGACAGTTAAGAAAATAGAATACTAAAATACACAGCCCATGCTGGCAAACGTGAAAACCAAAATAAGGCATTTATCAAGCGAGTTTTGGGGATATAACATCCCCAACACTGAGTTTAAGTTTATATAATTGTGCTGAATTAAATATTTTCCATGAGGACTACTCAGTAGCTTTCAGAAAACAGATTACACAGTACATGAAATAAATTGTGTCGTTTCATTTTATATTACATTCTTACCATAAATTATGATTACCATTCAGAAGAAACAATGGCTTAACAGTTCGAAACTTCACACTCAGTTATTGGATTAATACACTTAAATATTACTCTACCTCACTGTATTGTTCAAGTAGTCATGTACCAAATTAAGCAATGGTTAGGTTATTTGAATTCTAGCTACTGAGTTGCAGGTTCGAACCTTGCTTTACCTATTACAGTGTGAGCAAACGGATAGTATAATTAGCCCACAGTTTTAAAGTTTAACTGAGTACACACGATAACTTATCTGATATTTGGGTTAGTAAATAATAAATATATTACATACTAAAAGCCAATAATGATATCTTATCAAATAAATAGATGATAACTGTAAGATCTATTTTTGAAGGCTTTGTTTTTGAAAATTCCTCCATATATACATTTGTAATTTGTTCTAATTGATCATTCCTTCAGTTGTACTCTTTGTTAATCTGTTCGATTTCATTTTGTGAGGATAATATTTCTAATTTTATTATAGTTTCTATTTCTTCTGCCTTTAATGAGTTTCTATGTTTTTTTTTCTGAACTGTATTTATATTGTTTAAGCTGATACTTGGTCATGGCGACAGCCATATTGATTTGTTCCTCTTTTGATTGGGTTGCGTGCATTGACAGGAATTGTGAATTGAAGCACTCTTCCAGAATAGGAAACACTATGTGTTATAATGCAACCAACTCTTATCTGTCGAACGAATCTGATCTATCCAGAAAGGATAGAATAACATTTATTTGTTGCTGTTGATTTGAATAATTGAACAATTGTTGGTGGAATAACTAAGTGGTAATATTTGTTTAGGTAATGATGTACATTTATATTTATGATAAATATTAGAACTGTCATTTATCCAATCACTTGTTTTGGTTTCAACTGAGCGAGGCGCGTATCTAAACTACCTAGACAGTTATCTCTCATTCCAAACCTCAGTTTGGATCCTACAATAACCAATGTTTCTCTGATTGTCACTGTAACTTTCTACTATCAATTCTTAAGAAATATCAACTTTTTTTCACTCTTTGTAATTACATTTCAACAAAAAACATATTTTCTCATTGGAATGTATTCAGCCAGACTCAATAGTTGACCAATTTTTTTTCTTAAATAATAAAAGTCAATCTCATCTCTGTGTTAATTAAGAAATTTCAGCTAATATTATTTGTAGAGATAATCAGTGAATTGTGACTAAAAAGAAAACAGTAAATTCCATTTAACAAATAACATAAATTTACCAATCGGACTTTCACTTTTTTCTTTCTTCATCATTAGTTTTCTTTTGTTTTAATTAACACTAGATCAAAATGTGATAGATCAATGTCCAAATTCACAATTTTTGCTTTTAGTTTGTTTATCTCGCTGTCTTTCTCTCTCTCTCTCTCTGTGTCTGTCTGTCTATCTATTATGTATATTTACATACGGTGAAAATGTCTGGTTTTATATATGTTTACCTCTAATTCTTCAAGTTCTGGAGATGTGTTTTAAACTGTTTGTTTAAAACAACTCATAAATAATATGAAGGGAAAAGTAATTATCATCACAATCACTAAAGAGATGACTAATTGATTTTATAAACTCTTCACTTTATCTTTTCACAATACATAAAATATTAATCATTTCACTTGCTGATTTCATATTTTTGAGTTGAGTTGAGTTGAACACTACTTCAACTTACTATGGTGATCATAGTAGAAATAAAGTTAAGAATAAAATGCGTTAAATTTTTTATCTGTTCATAATTAAACTCCGTTTGTTTTGTTTTTCCTCAATGCTAAATGAATTTTTAATTTCTGCTCAGTAATTTACATAACGATCATCGATTATATTATTGCTTCACTGTTCATTGTTAACTAGTCTGATTTGTATGAAACAATCAAAGTGTTATGAATTGAAACGAATTGATTTGTCGAAATCGTGATCTCAGCTACATACTGATTTCTGCTACTGATATGACCGTTTATTATGTCTGCAAAATAACACTTCTTACCCATTACTTATTACAACGGAACGAGACTGTAATACAGTAAATCAAAACTGTAGAACCCCATGAATTTATTCACTAAATCACTTAATAAGCAACATTCATCAATCATTGAGTGTGTGTGTGTTGTGGTACGAGTCAAGATTGACTGTAATTGAACACCACAGATCGATTACGAAGTTAAATCCCTTTGTACGTGAAATATCAGAAGGATAGTTAGCATTTTTTTTGGTGATCTCGAGGTCATGCCACAGTTTACAGGTGAGACTATTGTGCATACGTGAGCAAGCTTAAGGTCACCAATAACGGAAAATGTGTGTTTTTGTTATAGATAAACAAAAGGGTACAGTAAAACAATCATTGGTACAATTGATTATGATGATAAATATTTCCAATTTACACCAATCCAAATTCTCTTCATAAAAAAATAGCTCACTGCATATGTGTGGAATTTGAAAAAGCTGTAAATTAACTGAGTTGATTTTTTGTTTAAATGTCTACAATTCATCACTGAATCAAATATTTATTTTCTTCTTAATAGAAAGATGTTGTCAGCATAAGTTATAATGCAATTAAAAACCTCTTTATTAGACAGAGAATTTCAGT